AAACTATGTCTTAAAAGGCAAAGTTCTAGTCATTCATGTTGTAGATGTAAATTACGCCGAAGAAGTCACCTTCTCGCTGTGGCAAGTTTTGCTGCTGTTAATGGAAACCGTGATGTCAGTCGTAGTTATAATGACAGGCCCGGAATTAAAAAATAAATTCGATCCGTCACGTACTTGTAATAACTGTTTATTGCTTGAGAACAAAAGTTTGTTTTTTGAGTACCACGATGTGTCATACGAGAAGTATGTGCGCAGTCCGTCATTCGTAAAACCGGACTTGATTGTAGGATTTAACTTGAGTATTGAGGAGTGTGATAAGAAAATATGGGCGTCATCCATACATGCGGTAGCGAAACAGAATTGTCCGTTCATCTTAACGTTTTTTACACTACGGTACTTTGAGGAGGGGACAAAGAAAATGAACACAATTCTGGGTAAGGAGGTTGATTATCTCTATAGCGGAAAGAACTCATTCGCTAGTTTCAGACCACATAGAGCCTTTGGGCCAGAGCGCGTGTATTATCATAATCAATATGTAGTTATCTACCAAAGTCTTTGTTCCTAACTGATATCCGTAATTTAAGCTACAAACTGAAGGCTGTATTTATGCCAAAGAAAACGTCGCGTGTGAGAAATGACAGAATACGAGTTAAATGGAATTTTACGTTTAAGAAATGCAACGGAAGGGACGCAGAGATACTTAACTGTATGAACATCTGCGAATCGCGACGCGTTATTTCTTCACGGAACAAATTGCAAAAGACTGAGATCCGGCACTCCGGAATGTCTGCTTATATTTACAATCCAAGAAGCTATTATTTACTTGTTGAATCGATTATTTGATATAAGTCGAGCATAAATGGATTATAAATATAACAGGAGTGGATAGGGTAACGTAAAATATTATTACAATTGCTATTGCTTTTAGTTCCGTTTGTAATTAAGACAAAACTTTTCGTTAATTTTTATAACAAAATTTATATCTTTGTAATAAAATATATATCAAACATTTACGAAATAGCAATTGTTTCTTCATCGATATTTCTGAAATCTCGGACGTCGCACGTGTCACGCGTGCGACGCGTGACAGGTTCACGGATGCTTGCGACAGTCGACGATCAAAACAATGATAGAGGTCGAGTGGCTGTAGCACCTGTGGCAGTATAATAGTTCCCCGCCGTTCTTTATGTGAGTAAGTATCGTTTCGCGGAGGGTGTATTTCAACGAGATTATTAACGTTATCAATAATTTCATATATATGTAGTAAGATTAATAAAATTCAATAACTGATTCTGTATAAAATAGGTTTCGACAAAAGCCTGGCGTTTATCACAGATTAGGATCGTAGGGGTCAGGTTACAGCATATATATTTACAGGTAAGAGCATATTTACAGATTTTGCGATTCGAAAAGCACTCGAGATTTTATCTAACGACTATGTTTATTTGTTGCAGCCTTCAGCCTCACGCAGATACCAGAGCTAAGCTGGTAGCGGCCTAGAAAAACTTGCATGGTGTTTGAGAACTAACGCATCACGAAGCAAGCGGTCGTGGATGTACGCGGAGTGCAGACGAATCCTCTATTCAATAACGCCAGCATAAACAGTATCCTTCCTATTCATCGTATGGAATGATAATCATTCTACCAATTTTGTCATATTTTGCTTAACGCACATATCTTATTATGGGTGCAAGATAAGTCAAGGGTGAAATCACAACATTCCAAACACTACATTTGTCCTTTACACTGAAGGATACTTTGATATAACGAGACTGTGTGTAGGCAGAAGTCATGGAATCAGAAGCGAGAGATCAAATTAATAACTATTATGACGAGTTCTACGCCACCATATGTCACGTTTGCAAACGGTTTGGCGACGGCGTCCAATTGAAGAGATGCGGTGGCTGCTGGATGATCGCCTATTGTGGTAAGGAACATCAGAAGCAGCACTGGAAGCAGCACAAACCTTTGTGCAAAGCCATACGGAACGTGCTGCGGAACTACAACATGGATTATGGCGGTGAAACTACAGAGGTATGGGCCAGCAAGAAGCTGACCTTCGCGCAGCTAGTGTCGTCCAAGCTAGGACGTCGCCTGAATATGAGTGAGATGAATATGTTCTTGTTTCCAAAAGAGTGCCTAGTTTGCTACGAACGGAACATTAAGTCGTTGGAGAGTTGTCAGAAGTGTGCTGCCAGCTTTTGTAAAAATCACAAAGACGGCACGGAGCACAGGGACATCTGCGCTAGCCTGGAACTATGTCTTCATTCAGATTTATTTTCTATGCGAGAGGGAAACAGTCTTCTGGACTTGAATTTTCACTTCCAACACATTTCCTATATCGAGTTCCCTTCGAGTACATTTCAGAACATGAAAGACTTTTTAAAGGCTTGTATGAATATCCAGACTGACTCGGAGATGTGCAACGCCCGGGCAAATTACAGTTCAGAATATCTGACATATTCCTTAACGTTGTTTTTTGCTATGCGATTATTAAAGTATGTCCCAAAAAGTGAAGATCTAGTCGTTCATGTTCTAGGTGCGACAAAGCACGATGAACTCATCTTGATCGGGTGGGAAATTTTTCCGCGTTTAATAGGAGCCAAGGTGTCAGTTATATTGATAGGACCGGAATTACCATGTAAATCAATGCTGTCACATCATTGCGATAACTGTATGTCACGGGAGAAAAAATGTTTGACGTTTGAGTTACACGATGGGTTATACGAGAACTATGTACGCAGTTCGTCATTCGTAAAACCGGACTTGGTTGTAGGATTTAATATGGGTGTTCGCAACCATGAACTTCCAGTTGAGTCAGTTGAGTCCAGTAAGGAAACGTGGACGCCGTCCATTGAGTTGATAGCGAAAGAAAATTGTCCGTTTATCTTGACGTCTTCCTTGCTATATGCATTTAAAAAAGAGACAGACATAATAAACACAATCCTGGATAAAGAGGTAAACCATATATATAGTGGAAAGAATCCATTCGCCAGTTTAATCCCATGCAGAACTGTCGGCGGGCTGGAGTACGTATCTTATACGAATCAATATGTTATTATCTATAGGAGTCTTTGTTCATAACTGATATGCGTAATTTAAGCGACCGATACAAGCTGAAGGCTGTGTTTATGCCAAAGAAAACGTTGCGTTGTGTGAGAAATGAAAGAATACGAGTTAAATGGAATTTTACGTTTAAGAAATGCAACGGAAAGGACGCAGAGATAACTGTATGAACTACATCTGCGAATCGTGGCGCGTTATTTTTTCACGAAACAAACTGCAAAAGACTAAGATCCGACCCTCCGAAATGTCTAATTATATTTATAATCCAAGAAGCTATTATTTACTTGTTGAATCGATTATTTGATATAAGTCGAGCATAAATGGATTATAAATATAACAGGAGTGGATACGGTAACGTAAAATATTATTACAATGGCTGTTACTTTTAGTTCCGTTTGTAATGAAGACAAAACTTTTCAATAATTTTTATAATAAAAATTTATATCTTTGTAATAAAATATATATCAAGCTTTTATATATACGAAATGGCAATTTCTTCTCCATCGATATTTTTGAAATCTCTGACATCACACGTGCGCCGTGTGCGACGCGTGACAGATTCACAGATGCTTGCGACAGTCAACGATCAAAACAATGACAAAGGTCGAGTCGTCGAGTGACTTCAGCACTTGTGGCAGTATAATAGTTCCCCGCCGTTCTTCACGTGAGTAAGTATCGTTTTGCGGAGGGTGTATTTCAACGAGATTATTAACGTTATCAATAATTTCATAATATATGTCGTGAGATTAACAAAATTCAATAATTGATTCTGTATAAAATACGTTTCGACGAAAGCCCGTTTATCAAAGATTAGGAACGTACGTCAGGTTACAGCATAATTTACAGGTAAGAGCATATTTACAGATTTCGCGATCCTAAAGGCACTCGAGATTTTATCTAACGACTACGTTTATTTGTTACAGGCTTCAGCCTCACGCAGATATCAGAGCTAAGCTGATAGCGACCTAGAAAAGCTTGCATGGTTTGAGTACTATCGCATCACGAAGCAAGCGGTCGTGGATGTACGCGGAGTGCGCACGAATCCTCTATTTGATAAACCAGCATAAACAGTATCCTTCCTATTCATCGCATGGAATGATAATCATTCTACCAATTTTGTCATATTTTGCTTAACGCTCATATCTTACGGGTGCAAGATAATTATTACGGGTGAAATCACAACATTCCAAGCACTATATTTATTCTTTACTCTGAAAAAGACTTTGATATAACGAGACTGTGTATAGGCAGAAATCATGGAATCGGAAGCGAGAAATCAAAATAACGATTATAACAAGTTCTTCTACGCGACCATGTGTCACGTTTGCAAGTGGTTTGGCGATGGCGTTCGTTTGCCGAGATGCGGTAACTGCAGGATGATCGCCTATTGTGGTCAGGAACATCAGAAGCAGCACTGGAAGCAGCACAAACCTTTGTGCAAAGCCATACAGGACGTGCTGCTGGAACCCGACTTTAATGATCGCGGTAAAGATTCAGAGGATTGTGACGAGAGGAAGCTGATCTTCATGATGCTGGTGTCGCGCAAGCTGGGCCGTCATCTGAAGAAGGACGAGACAGAAATGTTCAAATTTCCAAAGGAGTGCCTAATTTGCCATGAAAAGAACGATGAGTTGTTGGAGGTTTGTCAGATGTGTGCTGCCAGCTTTTGTAAAAATCACAAAGACGACACTGAGCACGGGGACATCTGCGCTGCCCTGGAACTAAGTCTTTCCATAGGTTTATTTTCTATAGTAGAGGAAAACAAACCTTCGGATGTTGACTTTCAACATATTTCTTGCACGAGTACATTTCAGAACATGAAAGACTTTGTAAAGACTTTTGGGAATATTCCGACTTTTGAAAATATTCAGACAATGTCTTCGACTGACTCGGAAATATTGTACAATATCTTGGCAGCTAATCAGTCAGAATATCTGACGCGTCCCTTGACGCTGTTTAATGCTGTACGATTATTAAACTATGTCCCAAAAAGCAACGATTTAGTCGTTCATGTTATAGGTGCGACGTGCGTCGAAGAAACAACCTTGACCGGGTGGAAAGTTTTGGCGCGTTTAATAGGGACCGAGATGTCAGTGGTACTTATATTGATAGGACCGGAATTAACACGTAAATTAAATCCGTCACATACTTGCGAATCTTGCGATAACTGTATGTCACGGGAGAAAAAATGTTTGACGCTTGAGTCTCACGATGTGTTATATGAGGACTATGTACGCAGCTCGTCATTCGTAGAACCGGACTTGGTTGTAGGATTTAATCTGAATATTCACGAGCATGAACTTGGGTCCAGTGAGGAAACGTGGGCGCCGTCCATACGGATGCTAGCGAAGCAAAATTGTCCGTTCGTCTTAACGTCTGTCACGCTTCAGGACTTCGAGAAGGAGACCGACAGAATAAATACAATTTTGGGTAGACAAGTAGATTACATCTATAAAGAAAAGAATCCATTCGCTAGTCTCAGACCGCATAGAGTCCTCGGGCCGGAGCGCGTGTATTATGAGAATCAATATCTGGCTATCTACCGAAATCTTTGTTCGTAAAACTGTTATGCGTAATTTAAGCGACCGATACAAACTAAATGCTGCGTTTTATGCTGAAGAAAACGTATCGCGTGCGAAATGACGCATACGAATTAACTGAACTTAACGTTTAATAAATGTAACGAAAAGAATGCGGGTAGAAATAATTGTATGTACCACATCTGCGAATCGCGACGTGTCTTCTTAAAAATGTCTGCTTATATTTTTATAATCTAAAAATCCTAGAGCACATTATCTACTTGTAGAGTCGATTGTCTTACATCGAGCATAATTGATTGTAGATACAGCGATTATAGATATAACAGGACACATGGCTGCGGTAATGTAAAATATTAAATACAATGGTTGTTGGTTTCAGTTCTGTTTGTAATGAAGACATACTTTTCAATAATTTTTTGTAATAAAAATTTCTATCTTTGTAATAAAATATGTCAAGCATTTACGAAATGGCAATTATTTCTTCTCCATCGATATTTCTGAAATCTCTGACGTCACATGTGTGCCACGTGCCACGCTGCGCCACGTGCGACAGTAAACAGTCGACGATCAAAACAAATGGCACTCATGGCAAGCAGAGATCGAGCTGTGCCATAGCGGTATCATTTTTCGCCGTTCTTTACGTAAGTATCGATCATTTCGAGGAGTATGTATTCCAACGAGATTATTAACGTTATCGATAATTTCATATATATGTGGTAAGATTAACAAAATTCTGTATAAAATACGTTTCGACAAAAGCTCGTCGCAGGTTAGGTATATAGGTCAGGTTAGGTTAGGTTGCCGGCAAAAACATGTTCACAGATATTGCGATTCGAAAAGCCGTCGATATTTTGTTTAACGACTACGCTTTATTTGTTGCAGGCTTCAGCCTCACGTGGATACTAGAGCTAAGCTGATAGTGGCCTAAAAAAGATTCGTGCTCGAGTACTACCGTTATCACGAAGCAGGCAGTCCTGGATGTGCGCGAAATACACGCAAATTTTCTATTCAATAACGCATAAACAGTATCCTTCCTATTTATCTCAAATAAATTTAAGTGATTAAATGATAATTATTCTACACTGTTTAAATAATAATTATGATGACAGTTTAAATGATAATTTTTCAAATTTTGTCATATATTTTGCTTAACGCTCATGCCTTGTGGGTGCAACCTACAAAATCGCACCATTCCACACACTACATTTGTCTTTTACACTAAAGGAGACATTTGATAAAACGAGACCGCGGCCAGAAGTCATGGAATTAAGAAATTGTGTATATCTACAATGTGACTATACCACGTTCTTCTACGCGACCATGTGTCATGTTTGCAAGCGCTTTGGCGACGGCGTCCCTTTGAAGAGATGCAGTAGCTGCAGGATGATCGCCTATTGTGGTCGGGAACATCAGAAGCAGCACTGGAAGCAGCACAAACCTTTGTGCAAAGCCATACAGGACGTGTTGCAAGAATACGACTGTAATGATCGCTATATAGATTCTGAGGTTCATGACAAGATGAAGCTGATCTTCATGAGGCGGGTGTCGTGCAAGCTGGGCCGTCATCTGAACGTGGGCGAGATACAAA